GAGAGAGAGAGAGAGAGAGAGAGAGAGAGAGAGAGAGAGAGAGAGAGAGAGAGAGAGAGAGAGAAGGGGCCTCCGTCCACTACACAACATTTGATGTCATTCAATCAACATGTCCGATCAATTTGAGTGCACCTGGTACAGTCTCAATACAGATACGTGCTGAATGTTGTACAGTCGAGTGAAGCCCAAGATCTCTCTCTCTCGAATAGAGTGGTTTTTGTTCTTTGCATGTGTTAATGGAAGGCACAGGCATGCTATTTGAGGTGCCCTTCTATCCGGAAAAAAATAGCGAACTTTTGAAAAATTATAAAAAATCAACGTTTTTGGAAAACTTGAAGAGAATGTGTATGTATTATGTTGGGGGAATCCGGAGAAAAATGGACGTGCAAGAAGGAAACCGTCTTTAAGGGACTCAGCTCCGAATGGGATTTTGCTGCCAGATGCATCCAGGTCTGGCCGTAGCTGTAGTCAAACGCGTTGAGAATAGAATAGTGGTAGTGTCACTATGCCCTCTGTGTATTTGATTGAACCGAAGCGTCATTTGTATCTTTTTGCTTCCTGCAGGCGACGGTGATTGCTGCCGAAGCCTTTAGCGTCTAGGAATATTTCCAGACTCTGTGCAGAGTGAGTGAGTGGTGTGGAGAAAGTCATAAGGTGTGAGTATGTGCAGAGTGAATGAGCCACCGTTATGGAGACAGCCACATGGCGTGTGCACTGTGCTGCCATCCTCGCCCGAACAGAACGGCCTGTCATTAGTCAGCTATGAATGACTAGGAGTTCTATTCGGGTGAAGACGGTAGTCGCCTTCTGATGGAGGGGGTTGTTGCATGGGATGTTCTTTTGTGAGTACAGGGTTTAGGGCATCCTGTTGAGTTACGAAGCTCGTGTTTCTTAGGGCACACTCACACAAGGTCCATCCTGGTTCAGCTGTAAAACATGTAGAAAAGTGCCCTAAGGCTCCCTACGGAGCTGTTGAATCGAGTACCCTGCTGTTAAATGGACTCTCATGAGGAGTTGGAACAGTTCACCTCTTCTATCGAGAAGGCATGATGGCCTGCGTATGGGCTGGATGCGGTGGATGGCTGTTCTCGCTAATGTCTCTTAATATACGCGAGCTTATATAATATACGCTGGCAAACGAAAAGCCCCGAATTCGCAGTCCGGGGATGCACGTTGCGCATGCTAACAATGAATGATTAGAATCTCCGTCAGAGAAAACGGTACTTAAACCAGTGGGCTTGCCTTCTCACCTTTCTTGAGATACTGTGAAGGTTCTTTTCTTGAGATTCAGTGAAGGGTCCCTATTGAACTGCGAAGGGTCCGTAACACAATGGCAAGCAAATAGTTTCAATAGGCGAAAAAAAAGAAATTCCCTTCAATGGATATAGTGGGTAGTGAAAGGTGAATTTCAGAGAGAAAAAAAAAGGGAAAAATAATGGAAAACTAGTGGGACTTGGAGGAAGTGTGGTGTTGTGGGGTATTTTGGACCTGCTAGCATCACACACTGTGTGCTGCAAGAGGCTGAGTGGTGGCGTGTATATACGAAGTATGTGTGTTCAATTCGTGAGTGAGCGTTTTAGGTCGAATTGGGGCTTCTGAGTGAAATTGGGGTCCGAAGAGGGCACAGTGGCTCCTGTCACTTGCTGTGGTAATGGGAAGTTAGCCTGTTAATTAAGGATTGAATTTCTTTCTTTTTTTTTTGTTTTTTTTGTTTTGGATTGAATTTCTAGGTGGCAGATTCTTGTTTATTTTCCATTTGCAGCCTTAGAAAAAAGGCGAGGGGAGGAAGACAAGTGTGTGCTCGATATTTTCCCAACTTCGTAAGAAGGGCAGAATAGGCAAAATGGCATCTGCCTGTCTGGTATGCTGCGAACTTTAAGGGCATTTTTGAAAAGAGTCGTTCGGCTCGGGGGTTATTTTCTCGGGTGTGGGCCGTTTGATGTCCGTGCAGTGGGGCGCAGCGTTCGCTTACAGTTAGGAAGGTGCGTTGGCTTCTCGACACCCTCGTGGAGGGGGCAGGGGAAGAGGGTTGTCACTTTTCCAGCTGTGCCTTCAAAGACCATACTGCTTCGTCGAAAAATGGAAGTCGTTCTCCGTCTTGCCTCTGTTGATGTAGGTGAGGCAATCGTAATTGGCACTGTGAGCCAGGCCCGATAAGATTTTGAAAATGAACAGTACTCTTGTTGGGCCTCATCCTACTGGGACATGCAGTCCGCTGGAAAACGGTCAGCTTGCTTCCTCAGGCAGGAGTCAGGACACATGTGGGGTGCGCCCCCGGTGGAGCAACGCGACCATCTTTTTTGTCAACACGACTTACAACACGGTTGTCTGTCTTCATCAGATCCATTTTCTGAGTTTTGAAGAGAACTGTCTATCGGACTCTATCCATATGACCGGCAAACTGACACTAATTTCTGGAGTTGCAGGTTATACTCTACAGTGGGTTCTAGGTGTAGTCGCACTTCTTTCAAGATGGAGAGATCTCTCCATCGGGGAAAATAGATGTAGTTTCTTCCCGGTTATTAAATATGATTGCATTGACAGATTGAACCACCAGTACATGGCGCCAGGCAACTGGAGAACCTGTTTTGAGACTCTCCGAAAATTTAGGAGGCCGAGCACCGTAGATAAAATGAACTGACTGTGGGCGGCCTCCGAAAGCCCCCCCCCGGCCGATAGCTGGCATGTACTGGTGGTTTAAGCGAAAGCACCGTGGGGAGCCGCCTTCTCTCGTCAACTGACACTGTGGATTGCCATGGAGAACACCAGGGGACTACCAGCCTCGACTGTTCTGGCGTCCCCAGCTTGTACACCACACACGCAGATAACATCGACGATTGCTAGCCTCCTGTATTTCCAATGGCAGACAGATGAGTGAGTCGTTGAAAATGATCTATGCGAGTCGATGAGATTGATGGGATGTGGAAACTAGAAAGGTGGTGGACCCTTCCACTGTCCTGGGAGTGTCCTCTCGCTGCCCTAGCAGTACACACTCTGTTGTCTCCGTCATGTCTCCAGTGCACTCTGCCACAAAAAATCATTTTGACGGCGAAATATTCGCCGCGCCAATTCGGTTTATTTCCAATTTTTGTCGCAAATTCCGTACGGAGGCCCGCCCGGTTTTCCACGCTGTACTACCGGTACCCGTCGTGAAACGGCGTTACCGGTACCCCCGAGGTTTCTGACGTCGGGGGGACCGGTGGTTTAACAATGGGTTGAGTGAGGGTGGATGGCAGGTATGACGGCCAACTCTGCCAGGTATGACAAGGTGATGGGTTGCAACACTGGGAAAAGCGACACCAACATTTACGGTGTTTTTAAATAACGAACCCTCCTCGCAGTGTCGGAGTGTCCGTCCAAGATTTCTGCAAAACACGTGAGATGTGCCACTGCTTTGGACTAACGCACTGATTCCCTATATCCCCACCCGAGGATCTCACATCCTGAAGGGTGCGTCTTTCTTGTGCAATGTGGGCCCGCTGACAGCCCAGGTTATCACCGTGTGGCCACTTTTGACACTTTCCAGAGAACAAAGCTGCCATGCTGTTGTCATGGGCACTCAAGTAACACCCTCTGTGTGGAAAGTGACCGATGGTTCCCGTTCCGGAGCTCTACTGATATATTCTTCTGATACCTTTGAACTACTGCAAGGGACCATCAATGAGAACACAAATGCCCCAGCAGCGAAAGACTCAAAGCAGAATCATCGTACGTGAGCAAAGTCGGAAATGAAGCTGAAAAGGTCAAGGACACACTGAACGAGCACACGTGGACACACCGAATGAGTTGCTTGATAAA